CCTTCTCTCCTCTTTTATTTCCTTTGGGAGGGGCCATTCATCGTCCACATGTGGTCTTACTCCCAAGTCAACCTCTATACTTTAGCTGTTCCCTTCATCTGGCAACTCTGCTCATGTGCACACTGGGAACAGACTCCAGCTGTTTGTCTGCCTCACTGATATCTGACTCTGAAGGCAGCTGATAGCTGACATACAGCTTTGGCCCCCTTTCTGCCTCTGACACAGAGCCCTCATCAGAGCCTTCCCCAGACTCCAGGACTAGCCCATGTTCCTCCCCAACCTCCATACTGTCCGAATCTGCTGCCAGCTCTGGTGGCCTCTGGCGGGCCACAACATGGTCACTAACTGAATTGTTGTACGTCAAGGACTACCTGTATAGGATTTACCATCCAAAAGTACAGGTTCTTTTCATTTGCTTTAATAAGGCTAATAGGGATAATGGTACACTTTTATACACACACACTTAAAGATACAAAAATATTTTCTTTAGCTAGGAAATTGCACGTACAATGCTTACAACAGGTAGTGTAGTGTAACATATTATGCAAATTGAGTATGTGTGTGTGTAAGAGTTGTAATTCCAGCCTTTATTTTTCATAGATTCTGCAATATATGTACTCTGGATAGAGATGTAATATAAACAGAGCATCAGTTTTGTCCTCTGGCATATCTTTTGTGGGTTTCCTTATTATTTTAATAGTTGCAGTGAAATGAGATGTCTCAGATATTAATTTTGCTTTGGGTTTAGATTTCTTCTCTGATGACCAGAAATTCTGCTTTTGCAAACTTTGCATTTTATAGCTGAAATTCAAAATGTCTTCTGCTTAGATTTTACATTTCTTGATGAGAGATAAAATGGGGTATATAAATGATAATTATCTAATACTATTATTACTTCTTTTGTAGGCTTCTCTCAGAGCAATAGTTGTACTGTCATTTGCACAGATTGTTCCTTTATTTAAAATGTTAAATATTAGACTATGGCACTATTTAGCTTTCAAACTGTACGAAGGTTATTTCTTTAATTTAGATCTTTGGAAATTGGTCCTTAAAAATCAAGAATATGAGTCATGTTCCATTAAAACCAGCTTAACTTTTTTGTGTGAGAGAAAATATTAGAAGCCAGAATAGTAATTTTATTTTGCAAATCTTCATTTCATTTTCGTCCCTTTCCTATATATCTAAACATTATTCAGACTCTGTGGGGTTTCCCTTTCTCTTCTGTTTCCTCCCTACCCCTATTTCTTAGCTCTCCAGCTCTCGTCTTTCTTATCAGCCTGCAGCCTTGGGAGTTGGATCATCTGACTTGGGCTACCCAGTAGTCTTTGCTGGCGGCTTGAGTGCTATACATCCTCATCAGGTATTCTCAGAAGTTGCTGCTCTAAAAGCTAACACTTTTTCTGAACTTACTCTATTTGTCTCGCATTGGCAAAGCAAATAGGATAATAGTTGGGAAAAAACCATGATGGTAGTAGCATTGGACAAAGAACACTAATATTGCTTTTTGGATTCACATGAAATAAGACTTTAATGAGCATTCTTTAAAGTGAAGATCTAGAGAATTAATATGGAGTTCATGTATGTATGTATGTATGTNAAAACAGCATAGCTATTAAATCATTTTTATTCCCAAACCCAAGACACTATCTTTATAGAATGAAAAAGCCCTCTAATTAAAAAAAAGGAATTAAAAGAAAAAATAACTGAATATCAAGAACAGCACAAAAACAATGGAATAAGGCTGCCTATTGAACAATTGAAGCTTGTTCCAAAGAAACCGCTAAAACAATTAAAAGATGCCCATATAGCAATATCAAATATAAGCACCAGCTCAATGCAAGAAACAAACCAACATATACAGCACAGCTGTAGTTGTAACTGAATAACGTGGATACAAGGAAGATTAAGAAAGCACTGGAAATAATACAGCAGCAAATAACAATAGCCAAGAAGATTAGTAGATATGAAGCTTAAATTGAACATTATAGGTAGAATCTCAAACTTCAATTGAATTGGAAAAGTTTCTACATTTCATCCATGGAGCAACTGCACTGAACCAGTCCACATCTGACAAAAAAGAAATAATGTAGTTCTAAGCACGACTATGAGGTAGCTCAAAGAAATACAACAAGAATGCATCTTGGATAAAGAGGTGAATAAAATTTTTAAAAAGCTGAAATGGAAGTACTTAGAACTCAAGAAAACGCATTGCTGTGGGTTTCAATGGATAGCTGAAAAAACATCTTGCAAAACAAAAAAAGCAATGGCAAAAGACATTTGTATTAGTCACTACAGCAATCTCCGACAATACAAATTTGATCCATTAATATAGGGATGATACCTATGGCCCTGTAATTGATGTTGGACATCCAAAATGACTAAGACTTGTAGATTACAGATAGTCCTGGATTTATGGCCACAATTGAGCCCAAAGTTTATGTTGCTAAGTGAGAAATTTGTTAAGTGAGTTTTGTCCCATTCTACAACTTTTCTGGGCACATTTGTTAACTGAATCAATGTAGCTGTTAAATTAGTAATCTGGTTTCTCCATTGACTATGCTTGTCAGAAGGTTGCAAAAAGTGATCATATGGCCCCAGGACACTGCAGCTGTCATAAATGTGAGTCAGTTTTCAAGCAGCCAAATATAAATCATGTGACCATGGGGATGCTGATGCTGCAATGGTCATAAGTATGAAAAATGATCATGTCACTTTTTTCAATGCCATTGTAACTGAATTATCTGTTCTGACAAGCATAGTCAATGGAGAAACCAGATTACTAATTTA